AATGGATTTTGAACTCCTACCTTTGTGTGTGTGGTACTGGGATTGAACCCAGAGCCTTTGCACTGAGCTGCATCCCCAAACCTCTTCTTTTTTTTTTTTTTTTTTTTTGGTTTTTCTCCGGTACTGGGAACCGAACTCACGACCTTGCGCTTGCCAGGCAGGCGCTTTTGCCGCTGAGCTAAATCCCCAGCCCCTCCAATCAGATTTTATTGGTGCATTTTAGATACACATAATGATCCCATTCATCATAGAGGATTTGTGCCTGTCCATGATATGAGTTCATTGCTTCTGTACAAGCTAGAAGGTGACTCCGCCATGGTCATCACACTCCGGGCTGTGCAGATGCAGTGCTCTACCGAGCACATCTGAAGGCCATCCAGTCCTGCGCAGCAAGTGCCTGCCTGCTCTGTCTCCTGCTTCAGAGAATGTCCCAGGTCTCCTGCATTTGGATTTTATAGCTTGACAGCTTTCAAATCCCTCATAATGTGTTTCTGTGCACCCCCGCTTATTAAGGAGTCCCAGTGGGCCTTGTATTTTATTTTGTAAAATTTTTATTAGTCCATGTTTGCAGCGCATAAGGATCCATTCTTGGTGGAGTGTCAGTGCATGGACATAATACATCTTCATTCTTTTTTCATCTCCTTTCCCCCCTTCCTCCCCTCCCTCCCTCTCCCTCATCTCTTGGTCCCTTTCCTTTTGCAAAAGACCTATCTCCCTATTATCTGTCTTTTGCTTTGCTTTTTATTCACGTTTGGATTTCTCATATAAGAGAAAGCATGTGATAGTAAGCTTGTGTGTCTGATTTATCTCATGTAACGTTATGGTTTCAAGGAGCATTTACTTTCCCACAAATGACTCGCGTTTATAGCAGAGCAATACTTCTGGCAGGGCTGCACTCCATTGTGTGTAAATACCACATTTTCTTCACCCATTCATCCTTAATAGGCCGTTTAGAAAGAAATTTAATTTTAAATCTTTGGAATCCTAAGCCATACACTCTGCACTGTGCCCTATAAAGGGCTCTAACTTTACCTTTCCCAAGTACCTGAATTTATTGCACGTGAGACTTTTACCCTGGCAAAGAGGTCTTGGTTGTCTCCCTCGTGTTTCTAGCTGACTGATTCACTATTTGTTTTTCTTGGCACCGGGGAGCAATGTTCAGAATCTCTCTTAGGACCAGTTCGTAAAAATAAGAAAATTAATTTAATCAGAGACCGAGTTCTTCAGCGCGGACCGGCATGGGCTGGCACCAGACCCCTTAGATTATGAAAATATCTGCCTCTCGATATGGCAAAGCCCAAATCTCAGAAGCCCGTGGTCATGTAGCATCCAAACAGGGGCAGGGGCCAGGAGCTCGGCTCGCTCTTACCGGCTGCAAATGCCCGGAAGCCCAGACCGCGACCACAGGCAACCCTCCTCGCGCTGGCTCTTGGGGCCACTTCGGCGGGCAGTGCGGCGAGGGAGAATCTCTGTGCGAGAGTTCGCAGCGGTCCTCACGGCACTGCTTGCCGCTGGAGTCGAGGGTCTTAAATCCCTGGAATTCTGTCTCCCCTTTTCCCTCTTCAATTTTATTTTATTTGCTCATTTGAAATCAAACTACTGTAGCTCCTTCCCACAAGCAGGGGGATCCAAAAACTCCGGGGATTAAGTCTGAATAGCTCGAGGTGGATCCCACAAAATCCCACCGGCTTTGGGCTGCCGGGGCTCTTTGCCCGGCGCGCAGTGGGGTAGGGAGGACCGCAGAGCTGCTGCCGCGGCTGCGGTCGCGGCTGCGGGAAACCCCCGGCTGAGGCGCCGGGAGAGCGCGCGCGGGCGGCGGGGATGCAGCCGCGGCTTGCCGGGAGAGAACGGACGCGGAAGGGCTGCGCGCTGGGGATGGTTCACTTCGCGCTGATTCCTGTTCTCCCTAGTGAGCACAGGATGGGGCTGGGGGCTTCAGCCTCGAGCAAGGGAACACGTTTGCTCTTTGGGTTTTCGCCAGAGAACTTGCTCTCGATTCGAGTTTTCAGCAGCGTGTTTTCCCTTTCAAAGGTGTCTGAATGTTGTCACGCTCGTGCCCCCAGACCTCCTCTCACCACGACCACCCCGTTTGCCCCGGGGCGGGGGGCTGCTGCGTCCAGACGGTGGCGCTCCGGGCCAGTGCAAGCCCTGTCCCCCAAGGTGGCAGGACGGCTGGTGTGCACGGAATTTCCAGGTGTGATCGCGGAGTGTCCGAGAGGCTTCCGGACAGCAGCAGTCTTAACTTTTAGCAGCGAGCAGAAATCCACTTCCAAAGGGGGAGTGTTGGGGTCTAGAGGCAGCATCCCCTGGCTGAGTGCGGGGACAGGCGGTGAGCCAAAACCCTGGCCCCAGCCCCACAGTCTCCTTAGGAGTTCGTCCCGCTCTTCTTCCCCGTCTGTCCAGAGCCTTCTGCGCCCCTTGGGGAACAGAGGGCAGCTGCCGGGGAAGAGGGCTTCCAGCCTGAAGCTGCTGAGGGAGCCAGTGCCCGATCGCGCCCCTTTAGTTGAGCCCGAACTCTCGGTTTCCCCGGGCGCGCGCGCTTACAGAGAGGGGCGCGCCGCCAGGACCAGCGGCGTCTGGGAAGGACGGGGAAAGGGTCGGAAGAAGACCCCAGCCCTTATCCTTGCTAGGGAGCAACAGGGAGAAGGGCCCGGGGGAAGTCTGGCCTGGGGCGGAGGGTGCTGGCTTGCCGACCAGCCTTTTCCAGGCGACCGCCAGGACCGAGCACCCTCTCTGCCACGGCAGCCCCGCTGCGCCCAGTAGATCGCGCGGAGCACCGGGAGAGGGGTCGGAAGCCCGAGCCGCTGGCCCCGGCGTCCTGGAAGAGTGGCCGCGCAACAGGACGGCTTTCGTGCCCGCTTTACTTTTCCTCCTAAGCAGCCCCCGAGCCCCCTCCGCTGGACCCGCTGCTGTGAGGGGATGAGGCCCAGCTCCCACTCGCTCGAAGCTGGGGACCCAGCGGTCGCCAGCTGCCTCCCCTCGTTCCCAGCTTGCGCTCCCGCTCTCCGCTTCCAGAGCGTGGCACAGGGTACATGTGTTCATGTTGAGAGCAGGACCTTTATGGGGACAGAGCAGCCACTTGCTGCTGCCGCTGTGGGTGCTAAACCGGCGGAGCGGGAATAAGCCCCCTAGGAGGGCAGGGACCCTGATTTGGGGTGGAAGCCCCCACGGCAGTAATCTCCCGCTCCCTACCGCGTGCAGAAGGGCTCTGGACCGGCCAGAGCCCAGAGAGTTGGGCCGACCTCTTAAGGTGACTGCAGGGCCAGGGGCTAAGCGTTAAGGGACCACCGGCTGTCCCCCACACCCTGACAGGACATGTGCACCGGTTTGGGCTGGCCCTAGACTCCAAAAAAGACCCCATATCGCAGTTCTGCAAGGTACAGCTCTCTGCCAGGTGTTTGTACTGAAGGGAAAGAATTTGCTAGATGCGCAGCGGCTGGAGGGGAGGGGGAGGTAGACTCTGAGCTAGTCACGAAGCTGGGTACCTGAGGGACGGGTGGGAGGGGTGTCGGGCTGAGGGGGAAGCACAAACAAGGCAATCGGAAGCAAGACGACACCTCAATGTGGATTTGTCCAAGAGATGGTGGTAATTAAGGCGTGGGTGGCCGAGAGTTGTGATTGGTCAGGGGGAGGAGTTAGGGGTGGGGAGCACCCCTCGAGGCATTAAAAGCTCAACGAGGGGGAGGGTCCTCATTCACTCTCTGGACACCGGAGAGGAAGGCACGCTTTCCCGGAGCTCCCGGTGACAGAGCGGCGGCAGATCAGGTATTCGCGGTCCGGGCCAGCTGCGGATCCTGAGCCTCCTGGGGGATCTTAAGGGTCTCCGGGAGCACCATGGGGCCCAACCTAGCAGTCCCGACCCCCTATGGCTGCATCGGCTGTCAGCTGCCACAGCCGGACTACCCGCCGGCCCTAGTCACCTTCATGTTCTGCGCGATGGTCATCACCATCATTGTAGACCTGATCGGCAACTCCATGGTCATTTTGGTTGTGACGAGGAACAAGAAGCTCCGAAATTCTGGTAAGTCACCCTTCCTCTCCCTACCCGCTGTGTAGTGCTTGCAGCCCCGAGAGTGTTAGTGCGCGCTCCCCGTTCGCACCGAATGTCCCCGCTCCCCAATTCCCCGCAAGCCTGGGAAGGGGGCGATGCTGTGTCTGGGCTCCCTAACGCTGGGGCGAGGCTCCGAAATTAGCTCGGAGCATCGGACTGCAAAGCCCGGGTTCCCGCGGCGCGCCGCAGTCCCCCGCGCCCGCTCCCGTCGGGGACCGGGGCTGGAGAGTGTCGCGGCTTCCCAGGGACAGCCAGCCGCGCTGGACGCCGCAGGGGCGGCCGCGCCAAGGCTCCGCTGGCCGAACGGACGCGGAGGGAGCAGCGGTGTCGCGAGCCGAGTCCTTTGGGCAAAGTTAAATTCGCTGTGGCGGCCGCAGCGGCGCTTCCCGGAGCGCATCGCTGCGGCAGCGTCCCAGCCCAGCGAGACCCCGGTCGCCACGGCTCCGGAGCTCCCGAGCCGCTCGGGGCGGCAGAGCGCGGACCCCCGCGCCCGAGG